ACAACGATTTTCGACCCCCGAAGAAGCGGTTGATGCATTCAAAACGCATGTTTTGGAGTTACCTCAATCGGACTGGAAAAAGTGCTTTGAAAATTGGTTCAAACGCATGCAAAAGTGTATTGATCATCATGGAGAATATTTTGAAAAACAATAAAACCAATTTCGATCCTACATATTTGTTTTTTCATTATTAGGCCAGAAATATAAATAGCAACCCTCGCATATATTGTAATTTTTACAAATTATAATTATTCAATGTAAGTTAAATATTATAGTTAAGTAATGAGAGTAAATTATTATACCTTTGTAGTGAAAGTATATGGGCTAAATATATGTATTTTTTTCTCTCCAGGACCGGCTGGTCTGGTTGGCATGATATTTGGCATTTTCCTTGGCGGAATTGCGATCAGAAAATTCAAGCCAAGACCGAGGGTGATGACGGGTGGAATTGTGTTTGCTGAATGTTTCAGCTTCTTGGCTCTAATTATATGCATGATGATAACTTGTCCTGTTTATCAAATGACCGGCACAAGTTCTGTTATACAACCACAGTAAGAATCAATCTTTCCTTTGTAAAAAGTTGTTGTGACTGTGACATATTTGAGAAATGTTAATCAATAATTTAAAATTCTACTAATCAGTATCTACTAGGTACATTTAGAATTAAGTTCTAGCCTGAAAGATATAAGTAATTAAAGTACTTAATGAATCGTTAGTTTGAGACATTAACTAACATAAATTATTATACCTTTGCAATGAAAGTAAGTTATATAGGCTATATATTTAGTTTGATTATAATTAGTTATAATTTGTTCATAATTAGTTTGAGCCATAAATAATAATTAGCTGGAGTCAAATAACTAACTTTAGTAATATCTAGATTGAGTCGTAAATAACTAACATGAGTATTTAATAGATTGAGTTCAAACTAACTATAAGTAGGTAGTAACTAGATCAAGTCATAATTATATATCGCAAATAATTACTTGATTGAGTCACACATTGAGTTGTTAAGTGGTCGACATTCGCATGTAAATATCATCCATTACTAATGTAAATACTCTAACATTAAGGAATATTTACTTTCAGAATATGTACAGTGAGTCAAGAAAGCGGACCACCCAGAATCATTTTTGATCTAATAATGATTGGATCCTCACATTCTAGGACTCATTCGTAATGGCTCGAAGGGGTGACCTTAAACATACTAATTAATTAATGCAGACGATATTTTACGTTACCGAATCAGACACGAAAACATACTCTCTCTGAATAAACATACTTTTTTTTCCCAACGAATTCGGATATCTGACCCCCAAATATAGGCGAGTAGCCTCAATGTCGGAAATCCCCCCCCCCCATAGTATTGTCAGGAGAGCTGTTCAAAGTTTGGATCCTTTAACATTAGTTTTACTATTTGCGTATTTCTCCATATCTTGCGTACTTTTCAAGCGAATTGAAAAACTTTTGTGCACAATTATAGAAATTGCTTGTCTAAAGATAATCTTGTGCAAAAAAATTTTTATTTATTATTGATTATTTTTTATTATTTTATTTATGAATAGTTGAAAGCATTTTGAATTGTAAGGTATACAATTTTTACAGCATTTTAAAATAATTTTAAAGGGCAAAATACAAATTTTGAGAGAAATCTGTCGCATAGTTCCTGAGAAAACTAATTTCAAATTTACTTTCTTCTTTAAGAAATCCGAATCTATTGAAAACTAGGTATGTTTATTCAACAAAAAGTGCAGTTTTGTGTCTGATATCTTAACTTGAAATATAGTCTACACCTATTGATTAGCCTATTTGAGATCACCTTTTCAGACCATAAAGAATGAGTTCTAGAACGCGAAAATCCAATCATTAGATCAAAAGTTATTCAGGGTGGTCCGTTAATTTTGTTGCACCAATAAATATGCTGACTCATAACATAAACTTAATACCCCCCCCCCCTATTTTACCAAAGTCATTATAAAATAATTTTAAACATTTAAAAGTGACTTAAATGTAAATGAGTAGTATGAATAGTAAATCAAATTGTATTTTTAATTTCAGATTTAGTTTGAATAACACTTGTAACACGGATTGCTTGTGCTCAACCAAAGTCTATACACCCGTTTGTGGTCCTGATGGAAAATCAACTTATTTCTCCCCCTGCTATGCCGGTTGTCAAGGTTACAACAAAACAGATGGAAAAGAAGTAAGTGGACACACTATCAGTCACAATTAATTAAGCTCCAATAATTGTTTAGCTATGGCTCCCAACATGATTATTTTTCTTTTAGTTCAGGTAGTTTATTTTAAATAATAAAGGCTAAGCAAGAGAGTGTGATCATGCGATCCGTTAACAAAACGTCGGAAGAAATACGTCATTTTAGGGCTACGAAATTTTGTTTTGAATATTCAACTTTTCTTAAGATGTGTTTTGCCGCAAGAGTAAAGTTGAAAAGTTGATTTCAAAAATAACGTTGATTAAAGTTGAATAAAGTTGATTTCAAAAATAACAAAAAGTAAAGTAAAAAAAAAAGAGTCATTAAGTGTTGCCAATTATAAATGCTGAAATTTTAAATTCTTTCTGATTTGAACTATTACAATGATAATCCCTTTAATGAGTAAAATTACGGCTCATTTGTTTCTTCTTAATCTGTATGGCTCAGTTTTTTTTCTTCTTGAGAACAGTTGATTATTTTTCATATCCAGGTATTTATATGTTATGCTAGCATATTAATAATGTTTTTATATAAAACTATAATAATTTTATATTATATTAACGAAACGTTCTTTTGTTTTTGTAGAAAATATAGAATTTTAAGGAAATAAATGATGAATGAGAGGAAACCTCTTAGTTAAAAATATATTGCATAGTATAGAGGAGACGGCATGTAATGAGAGACTCTTTTCTTTGTGTCAGCGGGGGTCGCATGTTCTATTTTAGCATGAATTGTTTTTCATATTAAGTTTATTTTCTTACATATTTCGCTGCATTTTTGGAACTTTACGAGGGGACATAAAAATCTTTTTGTACACAATTCCATACATTTAGTCGAAATCTTTTTCTAACTGAAAGGTGTATACACACTTTTATGTTCCTTCAAAACGTCATTTTTAATGACCTGACATTAGAAGTTCTTTAGATATGAAAAATTAAAAATACGACTTTTTTTTTAATGTTACGATTCATCAAAACTATTTCGTCAGATTTTGTTCGAATTTAATCTTAAAATCTTTCTCAACAGGTATTCACCGATTGTAAGTGTGTTCATGATGAATCAGGCATCATAAGGGTGGGTGAGGCGACCAAAGGTTATTGCAATTCTGAATGTCAGTGGCTCATAACATTTGTGGTTGTTTTATGCGTTGGAAAACTGCTCTCGTCTACATCAAGGGTCGCCAATGCACTCGTCACACTCAGGTATGTCCAGTTATAGTCTGTGAAAAATTGTATGAATATATATTATATTTCTAAGTGGATATCGAACACCAAGCTCAGATGCTTATTTACCATTCATGATTTCGCAAATATGACTTACATTTAGAAACCCTGTGATGACAACGATAGAATTAACTTTTTGATTAAATTAATACGGTATATTTTTGGGAAAAAGGACTGTCTTAATATTTCTTATTGCATTTCAAGGAGGCATATGGCATCCTTATTCCGAGGGCCATCTTAAAGGACAAGATTGTGATTATCTCTTATGCCTATCTTATTTTACTATGGGTCTATTCTCCTAGATGTTTTATCAAGAATCTAGTACCCATTTTGATCAAAGCTTCCGGAAAGTACTGAGTGTCTTTAAAATTTAAGTCATAAATTAAAAAGAGAACATACAAAGCTCAAAATTTAAGCGTTTTTCTCTTGAATGGTAGCATTTCGAAAATTTTGCAGAAAAAAATAATAATTTTCGAAAATTGCGAAAATTTAAGCCGCGCGACAAGCACCAATCTTAGTTTCCTAGGTTTGAGTTGAAAATAACTGACGAAATTAAAGTTTCACTATGTAAATAATTACGTATAGTTTTCATGAGTAAATCAGTCAATCGGTAGCGCAAAGTAGCTAAAATTTTTTATTAGTAGAATTCTGATGTAACGACCTTTGTGATCCAAGTGAAAAGCGACGTTACAATGTGAAGTCGCTACATTGCGAGTACTCAAAACTATAGTAAATAGTTACTCACAACTTGTGACTTACAGGGCAAAGATCAGCCATTTTTGCAAAATAAATTACTACCAGAGTACTGCAAAATCAAAGTATCAAAATCACTAAAGAAAATCAAACACGAAGAATGTCAATACCACGTGATTAACTCTGAAATATGCCACAACCCTTCACACAAGGAGGGAATGCAGTTTTCAAACAAGGGAAGTATAAATATTATTTTCTGTTGTAAAAAATTTACAAAGGAGATTGCGAGGGAACGCAATGTACGCCTCTCGAGAATGTTCAAATGGCGTTTAAAGTAACATTGCGTTCGTTTATGTATCAGTCGTTATAATAGAAGATTCGCAGTAATGGAGATCAAAATCTGAATAGAAAAACAAGAAACCTTTAAAGAACCGACAGTATAAAAAGGAAAACTCGGATGAGATTCTCTTTTCCCTCAAAATTGGTTATTCATTTGTTGAAAATATTATAGTGATTGAGTATTAAAAAGCTTGTCTATATGTTTTAAAAATATGCCACTTCGATATAAATATATTTTTTATATTTCAGGTGTGTTGACCCAAAAGACAAAAGTATTGCCTTAGGTGCTTTATCTGGAGTATTCTCCTTATTGGGTAATCAGTCTTTCTCTTTAATACCATGAATTTAAAAAAAAAATTCGTAATTATTATTTAAATATAACTAGGAGGCTCCGCCCCCTACTCGCTAACGCTCGCCAACCCCCGAGAATTGCTACGCAATCCTATGTGATTCACGCAGTGAACCATGGCTCGCTGCCCTCGCTCTCCAATGAACACANATTTTGCTAAAATACTCAAGTTTCAATACAATGTAATCCTCTGAAGAAAAAAAATGATTTAAAGTTTCCTTTACTCTACCTATAATGATGTAGGCAGCGTTTTTTTTCTTTCTGTAACTTACTTTTTTAACTTCATTCTTAAAGGGATTCAAGAGATAAGATGTTAATTATTTATGAACAACTTGTATAAGACAGAAAATAATTAAGGGAAAGCTGGAAGTGGTTTCAACTGGGTAAATTCAGGCTAAATATTTGTCCCTCAACCGGGGAGAATTTTAGACACCATTTTTTATTTATTGAAAGGAAGAAATCCACTCGTTTTTCCTACGTTTTTTTTCTTTCTTATCCTCAATTGAATGAGCCCGTAACCACGATAATAAGACTAATAGTTATAAGCTATTTAATAAGTATAACATACAAATTTTGACTTATTGTGATACACATAAGAAAAAAAAAGGTTCTGTATCGTCGGGAATCGCTAATTATTGTTTAGTACGAGGGATTTTTTAGGTACATCTAAGAAAACGCAAATCAAGTGTTTATGACCAATTTTTTATGATCGTTTTAAGCAGAAATATGTCAAAGGTAAAAATTGTACTCTTACTACATAAAAAAACCTTATAACTTCTGAATTATTAGACTTTTCAAATTGCTTCAAATCTAATTCAATTAAACGTAAAAAATACGAACGAAAATATAGTTTATTTGTATCGATAATATCAGATGCGTTAATAGGTATAGAGCTAAAATGTTGTTTTATTCATCTATTTTTACATTATACTCATTAACTCGCCTATTACACCTTTTAGTTTTATCAACTTGCTTATAATCTTATTTGGTTCTTAGTAAAAAAATGCATGGAAAACAATACCTAAAAAGTAAACTTTAAGTTTCCCATCCTTTTACCCCTTCCTCTTCCCCACTGTAAATTTAAGAGTGTAGGATTTATACTACCCTACCATAATGATGAGACATTTTCAGTTTTGATTCTTAAATTTTGAAAGAAAAATTTGAACGGTAGTGGTTTTTCCACTAATTTCCTTTTGCATCACAAGACAAAATACGATAACAAATGATAATACCTTACAATAATCGTCCCTATTCACAAATATGATAGCATAAGGGAAGAAAATATATGAAAGGAAACAATTTTTATGGGAAATGATCCTCCCTAATCCTGGTGTTATTTTTAATGGATCTTTTTTAAAAGCACAAAATGATATTCATGAAAAAACCCTTATCAATCGGAGATTTCTTAACAAAGAAAAAACTGCTTGAAAAATTGTTCGAAACTTCTTCAAATTGGGCATTTTTTAATTAATAAACTAATACGATTCACTACAAAATAATGAAAAAAAATTATGAAGTGTTTTACGCACATGCGTAGTATGAAAGAACTACTTTAAGATTTGAGACTAAGCATGAGAAATCGCATGACCTAAATTTATAAAATAATCCTATAAATATTTTTTGAGAAATTTAAAATAAAAATATCAAAAACTCTCTGTGTGTTGTCCTCTGCTGTATGATATATGAATGTGGCCAACCCTATTAACGTACTTGTTACAGTGTGGCGTGGGTACTATTGCTCGCCTCCGTTACTTAAGTACACAGGTGCCGACCGGGTAACGTTAAATAAGCAACAGTTCAGGCATCTTCCGCTGCAAAAAAAAAATGATTAGCTCGATGCCTGTCATTGGAAAAATTAATAATGAGAATGGAATCTATAGATTAAAAAGTACGTTTCGATTTAGTAAACATAAAAGTTTAAGTCCGGGTATATTTAACTTCTTGTTGGTCACGTCCTATTTAGAACTGCATTCTTCTCCGCATAAGTAAAAAGAGATTACATATTTAATAGTCATGGAAACGATAAATGCATTCTCCTCGATTCACGCATTTTCGAACGATTAGGGAGGTAAAAATGCTTCTTCTAATACTTGTGAGGGCAACCACATACGAAAGTTTCCTGGTTCGATCTTATCCTGCACAAAAAACATCTCTCCCGTCAAGTTGTTCCATCTAATTGAAATCGATGGATTCGAATATAGGTCATCTTCGTTGGGTGGAGATATTCTGTTTACGGACTTATTGATTCAATTCAAACTTATACTTAATTTTTTTTCCAGCATTCATACCCTATCCTCTAATATACGGAGCACTGACAGATGCGAGCTGCTTGGTATGGGAGAAAAGTTGTGGCAAAACTGGCAACTGCTGGATCTACGACAGCGACAAATTCAGATATTTGCTGCACGGCGTCTCAGCCGGCTTCGTTTTCCTGGGCTGCGTCACCGACGTATTCGTTTTCATTCTCAGTCCCAGATTAAAAAATCTCTACGATGACGATGAAGAAGAGAAGAAAGAGCCGATGACCGAAAGAGACGAAGTCGAAATCATCAGCAATGGAGGTATTCTGGGAGTGTTTAAAACTGGTGTCCCGAATAACAGTTTTAATCCTTTAAAAGATGAAGAAAAGACTTCCACACCTTTGTAAAGTCCTCTACTCTATTTCATTCTCGGATCCAATTTTTCGCTTGAGAAGATTACGTAAGAATGATTTGAGATACGTCATGTTTACGGATTATTGGACATCATTCTTACGTATGAGTGACGGCATTTCAAACACGAGATTCACAAAAATGATGCGAAATACAACATTCTCACTGATAGTTGGACATTCTCAACGATCAGTGGAAGCATTTCTAACATAAGAAAGGCGTGAAATATGACAATTTTAAAGATTATTGGATATTTTCCAGCTTAAGTGAATGCATTTCTTACACAAGATGGACAAGAATGATGTACGATGCATCATTTTTGCTCATCATGGGACACCAATCTTGCGTAACAGACGAATGAACTTCTTATTATGACAGTGAGAATGACATGTGATATAATTCAGCGAGCGAATGTCATTTTTTACGTTTTATTGACAATCATTCGCTCACAAAAAAACGCTATTCTCACTCTATTTTAGAATAATAACGGAATACGATAGAGCAAATCTTCGTTATTCTATCGTTCCACTTTAATACGCGTGAGAATTATGTCAGAGTCATGTAAAGTTTTATTAGATAGTTCTCATCTATCTTGTCTATTGCTCGATTATGTGTGGGTTATATGTAAAACAATGCGGCAAGATCACTGTATCCTTATGTCATAACGAGTGTTCCTATTTTACGTCATTCTTATGCAATTTTCGGTAGTGTAACCTCGATCCGAGAATCGTCCCTTCAAAGACTGGTGGAAATTTCTCCCACAAAGAGCTTATTTATTGATTATTGCATATTTCATCTATGTTACACATTTTTTTAAAATTTAAATGCTATATGTTCTGTAAAGAAATTCTTGAAGAAGAAAAAAAAATGTTTTGGTTAGTCATAGTTATGTAGTCTGCACATAATTTATGTTCACATATAGACTCATCATTTATCAAATTTGCCACAACACTTAGTGAGTTATAACTATTCAAAGCATACTTACTTGAGACATTATCTCTCAAAAAAAAAATTTCATAAAATTTTGATCAATACACATTATGATTCACGACTGACGCAAGATGCATAATGTACGATACTAAATAATCATATAGCGTTCAATGATAAAAATAACATGTTTTTTATTCAAAACATTTCAGTGAATTTCTTTAACCAAGCACGTTGATTCTCTATTATTTTTTTCGGTTCAGTCTTTGCGCCAGTGTCACTGTAATATTCCCCACTCAGAATTTTTTAATTTTTACTTCTTAATAATAAGTAAGTTAGAAAAAACCGGGCCAAATTTTTTTTTATTAGAAATTACCCGAAACTAGTTGCTGACTGTAACTATATTGTTTGTAAAATAGTGAAAGCTATTTGTTTAAACAAAAGTATTTTGGAAACTTCCATTACGAAACATTTAATTTTAACTCCAACGATTGAACTCTTTAATTTCTAATTGCTTGAAGATTTATGTTTAGTAAGTTCAGCATCTAATAACGTCTATTTTCTTATAAAACTTAAATCAGGTTTAAATGTTATTATTTCGTTAATGTTAATGTGAAATTAAAACACACAATGAATGAGTGTCTGCAGAGGATCAAAAATTTATTTATGATTCCTAACTTCATTTACTTAAAGTTACAAACAAATTAAATTCAAAATCATTAATGTTTATCGATTCTTGTTTGCTTATCAATGTTTTAATTTTATCCTATAATTAAAGATCTCATTAGAAATAAACACGTTTTTTTACTTCTCTATTTGAATGTATATTTCCGGTTTTATTTAGCCAGCTGGGATGAGTCTTTAGTTTTTGACAAATTTGTTTTTCACTGTCTATATTCATATAAGTATTTAATTTAAAATGGGTGTTCTCTAAAAAACTGCAACTAGTGTAGCACGGCTCCTTGAAAGATCCTTAAGAATTAAAAATTGGTTTTAATCATTCGGAGTAGCCCACTGGCTGTGGATTTCAGAGAACACCCAATGTAATGTTATTACGTGAAAATTATATTTTACATAATTTAATTGCAAATCGTCAAACGTAAGTGTAAGATGAATTTAATTAAAATATTTTGACGTTTTAGGTTTTTTTCTTTCTGATTTTTGTGAGTAAATATAACAACTGTTATCGATCGAATCGTGAAAATTGAAAAAATTATTGTTTGGAAGTGAGCCGTGTTTGGAAGATTTTACCTTTAACACAGAAAAAGACACCGGTGTCTCATGCTGTATTTCGTAACCTTACATTATTGAAATGCTAAATATAATATTTTTCATTTATTTTGACAAGTATGAAAAATATGTTTAGTAAAAATGCTGCATCAAAAGGTTAATAAGAAATTATTCTTTGACACAGATGCTAATAAGTTAAGAATTTCATCTGTGTTACTGGCATCGCTTTATCCAATTTTATTTTTCAGTAAAACTTTATCTAAATCAGAGAATGAATTACCCTGCAATGAAATTGGAATTATTAGCCATTTTTAAAAATGTTACTGCTTTTAAATCGTATCTGTGCAATAGAAAATTTACTATTTTAAGTTATAGTAAACCATTAAAACATTTTCGTAAAATAACTTCACCAGCTAAAGTGATGGAGTCACTCGTTGGATTCGCTTTTAGTGAGTTTTCATTCGATTTTGTATTCTTTCCCCGGTAACAGAAACCCACCGATTTTATTCTTTTAATTTTTTAGAAAGCAAAACGGGGGAGAATTGCTTGCATTCTTTCTGAAAACATCTTTTAACTTGTTTTGAATAAAAACTAAAAAGCTGAATTGAGTAAACGAATAGTGAAGATTTTTTTCGTTACTTGATTGAACTGAATTAAGTAGAGATTTAATCCATTTTTAAAATTTCAAAAATTCTTCTCAAATTTTAACAGCAAAATTTTTATGTACCTTATATTTTCAAATTTTTCTAGATGGTGAAACTGTGGTACAATAATTATCTAATATCCGCAGACACATTCGGCTTCATAAAGATAGTGTTGAAGATTCACTCTGTAAACCTTCTACTACCGGGGTGTATAAACATAGGAAATCTGCAATAATATCCACCCATAAAATAATGATAATTCAATTCACTTTAAATTCAAACTTCGATGGAGATAATTAGATTTAATGCTATTCTAACTCAACACTAAATTCGTTGCTCAAAATTTAACATTTTCAATTGTCTGTATATACTTAAAATAAATTCTATAGGTATCAGATTTTTTTTTATTCTTAGACTAACACCAAAACATTTTTACATGAAATTAAGAATTTGGAAAATTAATATTTCACCAGAGATATGTACCTAACGTTACTCTGCATTTTTATTTAACAGAAAAATAAAGATTCGAATTGGAACGAAAAAGTGTGAGCGAATTATAAAAGGAAATATCATTTAAAATCTAACTTAACAATAACTGCATGAAAAAAAAATAGAAAATAATGGATTTATTATAGAGCCGCTAAAAAAATCGTATGGTAGACAAAAAGAAAATACCTAATAAAGATGCACCACTTCAACACTGCATAAACATTGCTTTTTACTTTGATTTTACGAAAAATATAGATTTCTAAGGAATATTCAGTGACAGATTTAATAATTGCAATTTAAACTTACACCAAGGACATGCTTTTTGCACACAATACAAATCCCAGTTTTTTTTACACGGCAGAAATTAGAATTTTTTTAGATATTCAAAACATTTCAAAATTAATTTTTCAAAGCTCATTTTGTTGTTTTTCAGAAGAAAAAAAGCAACATGAATTTTTCTAATTTATTTAAATCGAGATTTAAAGCAAGATAATTTAAAAACACTTGTCTCATAATAGAAGTTTTAAGATAACCATACACAAAATAGGGTGTACAGCTAAAGTATTCATTGTTACAACATGTGTGCAAGTCAACATGGAAACTGTAGGGAAGAATTTGAATTTAAATTGCATTTATAAGAAGAAATTGTTGTTAGATTGTTGCACAAATTGAATTAAGAATGTAATTCTAAAAACTTAAAAAAGTGTGTTGCGTTATATAATGTAAACAGTCATTGACCAACTAATTATGGAAACATACTTACACACTAAGAACAGGACACAAAATTTCAGTTCTAAAGTACTTGCGTGACTATTTTCACGAGAAAAAAAATTCTAAATAATTCTCAAAAGGTATGAGATATGCGGAAAATAAATTATTTTCTCTTTTTAAATCCTAAAATACTGATTTTTTTTTAAATTTACTTTTTATTTATTTTAATAATTTTTCATTTTTGTTTTCTGTCAAGTTTGCTCATGTAAGAGAGATATTAAAATTTCAATTGGCAATATATTTTGCTTGCAGTGGTCATAAAAAAATTTAAACTTGAGACCAAATGTCGAGATAAGTAGCTAATAGTTTCATTAATAACATCAATGTGTTGAGACCAAGCAAATAGATAAATAGTTAGAGACAATAACAGTTATAACAACCAGATTCATATTTTAAAACCAAAAAGGGAAATAAGTGGTTTTCAAGAAGTACATATTATTTTTTTGGTTTAATCACACTTACAATAAAAACATTAGTATTTTCAGAGCAGATAAAAAGAAAATTGTTATAGTTTCAATAATAAAATCAAAAATACAAGTCCAAAACATTTATTGTTTTCATCTTTTAATTAAATAAAAATATAAAATTCCCAAGGTTTAAGTTTTTCCCCGCCGTGAGTTTTCAGTCTCGTCCTCTTCATCTTTATACAAATCTTTAATTCTGTCGACTAAAAAGAAAATGGCGACCAAGTTTAGTGTAGAGAGAGCACAAAAGAAAGCAGATCCTCCATGCATCAGGTAATTAAACTTCTGGATATCATAGAACCAACAATTTCCTGTTTCGCCACAACTTTTTTCCCACACTAAACAGGCAGAATCCACCAGGGCACCGTACAGTACGGGAAAAGGGATAAAAGCTGTCAGAAAGAAAAGAAAATATCATTTCATGGATTAGAATTAAATGGAGAAAAAGTTAGCCGAGACAACATGGGCAGAGAAATATTAAGTGCCAGATAATATTACGTTGTTGAGAAAATGAAATGGTATTGGAAACTATGTCTGATGTAAAAACAAAAGTGAGGAGGAAATGAGGAAAATTCTTACACATTACTGACTCCTCAATCTCATGATATCCGTATACACTTGCGAAAATGTATTTTTTTTTTAAATAAAAAGCCTGCTTGCGATTACTTTACGGTAGAACAGTTAAACACGGACTAATAGTGCGCAACCTCGGTCCCTTTGAAAAGTGGTTGCCCATTCACAGCCAGTGAAGTACTTTGTACAACTAAATAAGATTCTTTTCACAACACTTAAATATTTACTTTATTTTCTTCATATAAAGAGATAACAGTCGGCAAAGAATTCTGTTAGGTTGAGTATTGAGTATAGTAAAGTGCGGCGTGCTCTCTGCTTTCGCTTATAGCACTGCGTTTTTCTGTTAGGTTAAAAAACATTTCGCTAAAAAAGAACGAATTGGGCATACTATAGCCTGCGTCACAGGTTGTGTTATTCCTACTAAATTTAACCCATGAACGGCATTTTCTGCGAGCCTAACTTCAAGCCACAAATAAACAAACGAAGTGCTTGATCGTTCAAGTAGCTGCTCGCCAGATTTTATTGCATTATAAAGAAAAGTAATTGATATTCGATTTTTGATTAAAAATTGAATTATGTGGATAGTGGCATTTATGTGGATAGTGGCATAGAATTTAGCATTGCGTCATGGTAAATGTTATTCCTACTAAGTGGAAGTAGTTGTGTTTTTTTTATATTACACCCAATTATAAAAGAAATAATAAACAACTTAAAAAATAAGAATGCTGCTACAGCCATAGAATTTATTGAACGTTAACTTAGAAATGACAAACAAAACGATGTTAACAAAATGACGTAGAAAGCGCAACTAGATCAAAATTATGATACCTGAGCGCTTGACGTAACAGTCAGCATTGCTTGAATTCGATTATCTACTGGGAATCGTGTCCTTACGATCAGTCCATTTTAGAACTAACTAAGATAAATTAGACTTGTTCGAAGCAACTTCGATGAGTTAGGAAGCAAGTACAAATTGGACTAGCCTGGACCAGGCTAGCCTGGACCATAATTTGGACCAGGTTGAAACATTTCGAATGGATGGGTCCAATTGGGTGTTGCTCGGATGGTTTGGAACAAGTTAGAGCAACTACGTGAATTGGACCAAATTGGAATAGCTGAAATGGATCAGACAAAGTTTAACAGACTGAGCTTGATTGAAGCAATTTAGTGCAGCAAGGCGTGAGGGAATCAGACCAGGATAGCAGCAATCCCATCAATGAAGTTTCCCTTAATCAGGAAAATAATCACTAACCCTTGACGAAAAAAAATTTCAGTGAGTAGAAAATAAGGAATTAAAGAAATTATAAAATACGCGAATCAATGCCAGAAAAATGAAAAAACGTTAGTAAAAAGTTTTGTCTCCTAATAAATGATGTTATTTTATTCAGAAATTAGCTTAGTGTACTGAAATCTCAAAATTTCTGAATACCTTGTTAGGGATGCAATATTGCCCAGACATCTTTTTTGAATATTATTGAAAATAATAAATGTGCCTCTTATTAATCTGTAAATAAATGACATTATCTACTTCACCAATTTTATTTTAGATATAAATCCGAAATATTAATATCACATACTATTAAGAAAGTGACAAAGCAGTTCTCGCATTAGGCACGAATGAAGATGGGTGGAATGCCTTCCTCATTTGTCGTTTAAAAGGATTCTTTTTTTTTAATGAATAACTCGTTTTTATAAATTCTTATCGATATAATTAAATTAAGTAACATTTAGATCTTATGAAATTTTATCGATTTTCTTTCTTTCCCTTCTTCTTTGGGACCGTTTTCCGGACCGTCTGACCTCTTGGCTATTTTTGTCAAAATTTGCGGGTATCCGCAAATCGATATTTTTCCTGGTTAGATATTTACTTTCCGGGAGAAAAAAAAGCTATATGCTCGATGTTATAGCGAGCAGTGTAATTTTCGAGCTCTGGTGTACTGTTAATGTATTAAAATGAATCTGGAATACATAGATAGATTACATAGATAACCTTCTTACCAACAGTGGAGAGGACTGTTTCAAAAACACCCAAAGCAATATTTTTATCTTCTGGTTTAATAGATCTGAAAAGATAGACAATTATTTTAGAATTGACCCTTATTTTCATTTACATTTTTTAAGCTTTCATTCGTCATTATTCTAGTGGAAGAGCTTCATTACGTGAGTGCTCGAGACCTAGCAATCGCTGAATACTATTCGCGCAATATGGATCAAGTCGTGACGAGTTTTAACACATTATAGTATAGTACACAATCCAAGTGCTATTACTTTGTCCAAACCAAAATGTAGTCATACATTTTTTATTCCATATATATACTAGCTGAATACCCTTTCTTCGTGCTAGGTGATAAAATGCTAACATTCAATGCTGCACAACACTACGAAATCATATACAAAATTGCAAGGCATACACCAACACTATGAATGAAGCTAAAGCAATCATTTTTATTATTATTTGTATTACTTTTTACCACCCGGTGGCTTTACGTTATAAGATTAAACAAAACAGGTTTTTTTTGTAGTTCAACCCAAAAGAATAAATATTAACTGTATTCAATATCATTTCGCATGATGCTATTGCTTGAAGGTCGAAAGTTACCACAATCAACCCAATTTGTCCTGTACTTATTCCTTTAGAATCGCTCAAAAAAATCTCTTTCCAGAATATTTATGTTAAGGATTTCAAGTATTGATGCAGTTTTAAAAGGCGTCAAATAGATCAAAATAATAAATCGTACCAACATGATACTTAGTACCTATGAATACTGGACCTTAATACCGGGAGTGCCAAAATAAATAGAGCATCATTGGCGTACACAATAATGTGATGATTTTATATGTTTCTCCTGAACGATTTAGTACTATTTCGCACATTGTATTTGTTATTTAGTACATTGATTTGACTTATCAGTTATAATTTTTTTTTTATTTCAATTACCATCAGATCTTATGTAGCTCCAACCAATGTTAAAAAAAAACTTATTTGAAACAATTAAGACCCTTACAAGTAGCATAAAATAATCAGCGATGCTTTAAAGTTAGTATAGTTTGTCAGTAACTCTGACTGTTTTTGAAAAATACTAATATAAATGATTTAGTCTTACCTGAGCATAATCATTGTGTATGCCACTCTCAATATATTCACAATAAACTGTAGAACTGGAAGAGTAACGATGTATGCAAGAGCTTGAGACCAACAATTTTCAGAACTGCACATACCCTTCGTTACAACTTCTGAGATGCAACTGCAGTTGTAAAATGACTGAAAATATCACATAATACTTTATAATAGAAGAAACATACATAGAGTAGGAAATACATTCAAGCGAAATGCTTAAATATTTTCTTATTGTTATTTTTTTTAGAAAAAAAATAAAGTCATTTGTTATCGTTAATCACCCTATGCAGTTGACACTCGATATAACAAAACAGGTGGTCGACCGCATTGAATCTAGAGGTATTGTGAGTGCTCCTAACCAAAAGATACTAGACTATATTTGACAAAACAATACTATGATTTCATAATAGTTTGGGGACAGTATGCTTGATAACAACTAAACTTGTTTTTTACTTATTTATTATTTTACATTAATGTAAAAATACCAAGGATAATACGTTCTAAGGCTAGATAGTGAGGCAAAAAAATATTGTCAGTTTTGATTTTTAGGATCGAATTTTTTCGTTGTAAGTGTCAAACTTATTACATTGAATAATGAGTGCCAGTGTGGAAAAAGATTATCAGAAGCCACTCTGGCGAGCATCATTGAACTATGTCAACTGAGCCACAATTTCTAACTCATTAATATCCAATTGCAACAGTCATCGAAAATGCTTGTAGCTAACACCTACACTTCTTTCTGTAGTATAACTCTCTGCCTTTGTCTTGAATGCAATATGTTTTAAAATATATTTCTTGGTTACTTACCCCTTCAGATAGTTATTTCGATCTTTAGTAGTTTTCTTTTTTAGAAATACATTCTAGAGTGTTAAATTAAGTATGAATCCGGAAAATTAATTAAGTTAAAAATTCAGATGTAAAAATGTACTTTCTCTGATTAAACATACTTGCACTGCTGTAAGAACTGAAGAGCAGACTGGATCGATTATCTCTAGAACTACTGGAGCGATTTTAATGAAATTTGATATGTATACATACATCGATGATACAAAACAAAACAAGTAACCATTTAACAATTGTAATACACAAGCATGATCTCGCTGGAGTCGGAAGGTATGAAGCAGCAGTTGCAGAATAGCCGTTGCAGGGTTAATAGGGGGTAGGGTCCCCTCTTACAGATATATAGATCCTGCAGCGTGATTTCATACTTGAAATAAGGCAGTTTATCATTTCTCGTGGCAATTGTCCTGAATCGTCCTGTGGCACTTTCGTACCTTCCGATTCCAACGAGTGTTGCGTACGATCATACACTTGTATTATAATTGTTGAATGGTTATTTGCTTTGTATTGTATCACTGCATGTACACAGAAAATTTCATTAAAATCGGTCCAGTAGTTCTACAAATAATTGACAAAGTCTGCAAATTCTCTTGATTTCTTACACAAGTGCATTTTTGAAACAGACTTGGTTTCTTGAATCTAGAAGTATGGGGATAAAATATGGTTAGTTAAGAGAGTGGTAGCAAGTTTTGGCTTTCAAATGTAAATTTCTTTTTTTCTTCCTCGCATATTTTGCCATATTTGTCGAAAACTTTTTACATAATGTTATCAGCTTGCTGCTCCCCCTCATATTTTTCTAGTCAAGAGTCAAAATCCGTTGAAAAAAAGACGCATGCCTATTCAAGTACTAGGACTCAATTTTTATGGTGCGAAGACCAAACACTAAATATACTAAATAAAAAGTGCAAACAATATTTTAAGTTACGAAATCAGACTTCAAGACGTATACTTCCTATCTATAAACATTTCTCTTTTTTTTTTTCGATAGATGTTTCAAGTTTGGCGAGAATGTTAAGTTGAATGCTTCGTATTTCACCCTATTTTGAAAACCTTTAAAGCAAAGCGGAAAATCTTCTCTTATTAGATCTGTGAATAAAATTCCTTTATTCACAGATAATTACATGAAAAAAATAATTTTGAGTTAGTTATTTTTTATTATGTTGTTTAATAACAGTCTAAAAAGTTTTGAACTGTAATGTATACAAATTTTTACATCATTTTAAGGAATTTAATTTTAAATAGCAAAAAATTGAAATTTGAACGAAATCAGTTGAGTAGTTCTTGGGTAATTAAATTTTAAATGTACGACATTTTTAACTATACAACATTTCGAGGCATTGATATAATGAGAGTGAAAATGTTTTTGAAAAGCTGTCGTGAAACGTAACTTTCCTTTTCAATAGATCCTCTCATTAAAAGATTAAAATCTGACTTGGCACCTCATATTGCAGAATATGAGTATTTTAGCAATAAAATGTGTTGACTTGAAAAATATACCCATAACATTTAAACTTGTTCTTCGGAAAAATTATTACCCAAGTTTTTTTTTCTTCTTAGAAAACTTTGTTATGTCATCATAAATGACACCGGAAAACTCCCTTATTCTCCCCTGTATGCTTCCCAATAAGAAACAGAGGGAGGCTTGATTGTGAGAATCAAATTTCTTCTAGACAGATAAGTGAGCACTTTTCATGCTGAACGAGACGACAAGACTAAAGCAGTGCAGAAGTTAAGTGTTAATTTGTAGCTATTTACGCATCACACTTTTTTCTTTCTTTTTTTTCTAAGCAAGTTGTTTACTGTGTAATTTTCTACGACGACTTGCATCAGGCTATACACACAAAGCAATCGAGTGAATTAATTCATAATGGGAGGAGTAGATTGAGGGAGTTTTCTGGTATCATTTTACATCACAAAGCCTTCTGCTAAAAAACTCTTTGGAAATCATTTTTTCTAAAGAAACTCTTTTTCTATTTAGTTGAAAGAAAATAAAAATATTTTGACTGAGCGTAGAGTTTTTCTTTCCATAAATTTTAAACATGAATGTTAAAGGAAATAAAAATAGTTCTTGTCATTACTCATTAGAATGCAGAAATAAATAAAATGAATTTATTATAAAAATTGCACCCTCTTAGATCTTTTTCTTTCTTTCCAAAGGATGTCTAAATTAGTAGAATGTGATATAAATGTGAAAAGGAATTATATATATATATATATATA